AAGCATAGTTCATGGATTATAACACTAATGCATTTTCATAAAAGAGTTCTTATACATTACAAACGTTTTGGATAAACTATAGTAGGTATATTTTATGATTCATCACATAACACACTCGTACAATAAAAGGGTACATTCATACTATAAGGTTCTACACTTACGCACACTACACGTAAACTTGTTAACTCAGATTGTGAGACTTTCTCTCCCCGTACGTCCGAGTGCGGGATCCAAATTCCTGTAAGTTATAACCAAAATCTCTTGTAGGGAGAGCGTGATAATTGTGTATAGATCTATATTGGGGTTGACATCCCACACCTCGCTGCTAGCTACAGCCGGACTGGCAGGTCTGCAGGTGACAAGAGTCATAGGATCAGGGCGTCTAAAAGACGTTGTGCAGGTTACCTCTAGTCATAGCATGGTTATAGCGGCTCACATAGGGAGCTAACATTACATAAAGTTTATGGGATTTTTATAAAACAAAAGGGGTTTTATGTCGATTTAAAATCACTTTTTATATCAATAAGTACAGATATTACTGTACACCTTCGGTTTTGGTATTTATGACTATACATATTTTGAAAACCAATTTTATATCTTTAAGTATGACAAATACTTGTTCATTTTCGGTCTTGGTATTTAGGACCACATAACTCTTATAAGGAAAATATTGGATTTTTCATGGTAACATACATCTCTCTACAAAGATCGATTTTTAAACTCTTACTGTCAAAAGCTTAAGAACTCACCAACCTTTGTGTTGACACTTTTTCAAACAACTTGTATTCTTAGGAAATCACTAAACAGGAAATCAAGTGCATTTTGAGGATGGGACGTTAAGGCGTCAAACATTTCATATTTTTTCAACATATTGTAATAGATTTTGAAACATGTAATTCATACAATGATGTAACTTCTTCAATTATATATATGTTGGTTGTGTTTGCTTAAATCACTATTGCATTTGTTGTTATGATACTACATGAAGTCTTCCACCCCCGGACGTTTCTGCCATCCTTGGTTTGGGGGTGTGACAAGCTTCACTTCCAATCTCATTTTGGGGGTATGTATTAGAGACTGGCGCCTACATTCTTAATCTTGTCCCAACTAAGAAGGTTTCCAAAATACCTCATGAGATGTGGACAGGGAAGGTTCCCTCGTTAGCACATATCAAGGTTTGGGGTTGTGATGCTTTTGTTAGATGAGAGACTCACTACATGCTTGAACCTCGAATTGAGAGATGTATTTTCGATGGTTACCGACAAAAGTCCTTTGGATATTTGTTCTACAAACCTAGTGACAACATGGTCTTTGTAGCACAGAGGGGAGTATTTTGAGAGAGAGAACTCATATGCAAAGAGGACAGTGGGAGTACAATTGATCTTGATGAAATTCAAGAGTCAAACAATGAAGGAACCTCTGAAAAATGATAGGCTCTACATGAGGAAGAAATTCCAGTTGAACCAATTGATGAGTCGTTGCCTCTTAGGAGTTCCAGTAGATTTAGAATGCTACTTGAGTTTTATGGGTTCCATATTACTACAGATGGTGATACATTTATCAGTGATAGTACATTGGTAAATTTGGATGAACCTTCTAACTACAAGGAAGCAATGGTGGGCCCTAAGTCTACCAAGTGGAAAGAGGCAATAGATAATAAGATCAAGTCCATGTATGACAACCAATTTTGGAATTTGGTTGACAATGTACCAAGTCGTAAGATAGTTGGGTGCAAAAGAATCTTCAAGAAGAAGACCAACATGGATGGAAAGGTACAAACTTTCAATGCTCAACTGGTTGCAAAGGGATTTACTCAAACCCCAGTGGTTAACTATGATGAGACCTTCTTTCCAGTGGATAAGATTAAATCTATTAGGGTAATGTTGGCCATAGCTACGTTTCATGACTATGAAATTTGGCAGATGGATGTCAAAAACTGCCTTCCTTAATGGGAAGTTGGGTGAGGATATTTACATGAGTTAGCCAGAGGGTTTTGTGGATGCAAAGTATCCAAATAGAGTGTAAAAGCTTGAGAAATCAATCTATCAATCGAAACAAGCTTCTCGCAGATGGAATCTTTGCTTTGATGAGAAGACAAGAAGGTTAAAGATTTTGGCTTCTTTAGAAGTGAACATGAGTCTTGTGTATATGTCAAAGCTAGTGGTAGTATAGTAACATTCCTAGTGTTGTATATTGATGACATACTCCTTATCGGGAACCACATTGCAACTTTGCAAGAAGTTAAGTCTTAGCTTGGAAAGTGTTTCGCTATGAAGGATCTGGGAGAGGCTGCTTATATTCTAGGGATAAGGATTTTGAGAAACAGGAGCAAAAGACTAATTGCACTTAGTTGATGTACGTATTTGGATAAAGTGTTAAAATGTTTTAGCATGGAGAATTCCAAGAAATGAGAACTGTCTATCCAGAGTAATACCAAACTGAGTAAGACTTAGAGTTCGAGTACTGATGCAGAGATAGCCGAAAGGAGTCGAGTTCCATATGCTTCCGATGTTGGATCGATCATGTATGTTATGACATGTACTCGCCCTGGCGTGGCTTTTGCTTTGAGCATGGTTAGTCGATATCAGGGAAATCCGAGTAGAGCTCATTGGATAGAGGTCAAGAATATTCTTAAGTATCTACGAAGAACTAAGGATTGGGTCCTTGTGCTTGGTGGCAATGATGACTTGAGAGTAACTGGGTATAGTGATGCCGGTTTTCAGACAAATAGAGACAACTTCTATTTTCAATCTGGTTATGTTCCTTTTTTACCCCATGGATATGATCTAGTGGCTTGATGCCACTCCATGAGCTTTGAGTTGCCCCTCTTGGTGTTTCTGAGATTCAAGGTCCATAAATTTGGTACCTTTAGGGTTTAAACCCATCCATGCATAAGTTTGGGTCCTTTTCATGATAGTAGAATGCTAAATTTTGAGTTTAGGTCTTCTTAGGGCATGCAAAGTCACCAAGTCAGTGAATTTATAATTTTAGACACTTATTGGACTCAGATTCTTGGTTTGGACTTCTGGATTAATGCATTAAGAGCTTAATGGAAGGATTGGGCTTATTGGGTGAGTATGTTGAGCGTACAAGCCTGTATACGCAACGTACATGCCAAATAGCGTCTACGCTTAGCGTATATATGGGTATGCCCCACATACTCAGCAAGGAAGGATTTTGCATGTTGAGCTTCGGTTTGGGCCATCCTTTGGGCTTAGTTGTCTTGGGCCTTATTAGGCTATCAGGTTTTGGGCTGATAGTTATTTTGAGAAGGCCTACAATGGGTTTGGTCCCAATTTGGAAAATTGAGTCCTGGTTTGGGCCTTGGATGGTTTTTGGTATTTGGGCTTTATTGGATTGTTAAGTTTGGGCATAAGTCTTGGTCCAAGTTAGGTTAGGGGTAAAATGGTCTTTTTACCCCGAGTATGGATTTATGGTTATGGATTGGAACCCAATTGTTAATTGGGCATTGTTTTGATATTGAAAGTTCGGGGAATCTGTCAGCCAGCAGTGAGGGATCGTCTGTGTGATTCGGCAGTACGATGTGAGTCTTCTTATTATATCCATGGGTCAAAGGCACCAGTTCCGACCCATTACTTGTTATGTGGAATGTAGTTATCTATGTGATGCTTGCAAGAAAGACCATGGGGGTAGCCCATGACACTTGGATATCAAACCATGGGGGAAGCCCATGACATTTCAGGTCAAGACCATGGGGGGAGCCCATGACACTTGGAAATCAGACCATGGGGGAAGCCCATGACATTTCAGGTCAAGACCATGGGGGGAGCCCTTGGTACTTGGATATCAGACCATGGGAGGAGCCTATGGCATTCCAGGTAAAGACCATGGGGATAGCTCATGACACTTGGATATCAGACCATGGGGGGATCCCATGGCAGTCTAAGTCAAGACCATGGAGTAGCCCATGGCAACTATATGTATGTTGCATGATATTCTGTGGTTATATGTTATGTAGTGTTTTGGGAAATTCACTAAACTTTGTGCTTACGTTTTTTAGTTTATATTTCAGGTATTTCGGTCTTTAAAAGGAAGACATCGGAATGATTGCAGAGCACACATCATATGTTTCTGCACTCTATGATTTACTATGATTTGAAGATGTTTTGCTAAATCTAAATTACCTTGGCTTTATGAAAATGATATGTATTAATAATTTACTAATCTAAAAACAAAAATTTTATGTCATCATTTTTGGGATGTTAAAAAAAGTACTTTTAGTTACTTGTTTTATGTTTTTTAAATGTCATAATAAAATACTTACAGTCACTTATTATTCTTTTATATTCAAAATCATTAAATTAGACTTAGATATGAAATTTAACTATTATCATAGAACACTTATACTCACACGTTTTTTTAAAATGTCATAATAAAATACTTATAGTCACAATGATCTATTGTGACTATTTAGTATTTATCATATTTTTTTATAAAATAGTGACAAAATATGTGAAAATAGTTTGTAATGGTGAATGTTTTTACTAGTATTGGTGACATTGTGTGATGACTTTTAGTTAACATGTGACTAAAACATTACTAGAATATGATTCATGACCTTTACCTTAGTGACACAATTAACCAAAACCATAACCACCCTTTTTTAAAAAACCGTTGCCATAGGTGATAGGTCCTATTTTTTACTAGTGACTTCAATATTATTTTAGCCCCATAATCTTATTTATAAAGAAATTTGGTTAGAGCTATCAGTCAATAATCACTTTAGTAATAAGACGCATCTAATCTTAAAACTGATGAAAACAAGTAGCGAGTTTTAGTTAAGATATTTAAGGTTTATTTGATACCACCACGTAGAATCAAATAATTGAGATTTGAGAACAGAAATATCACTGTACACACAGCACATAACAGTACGCCGGTGGTTTGTCGACACCTTGATAATATTCTTGTCCGCTCGCGTCTGTTTCCTTCTTTCTTTAATTTCTTATTATATTTTTCTGTTTGCATCTTATGAAAACATGATGAAAGTTCCCAGACACAACCATTTGTCCACGTCTCATAACTTCGTCAAGACTTACAGGCGTAAACAAATCCTTATAAATCTACAAGTTATGTATACATCTACAAGATATACCTGGAAAATCACGTACCACATTGATCCCACCATCAAAATGACGTCAAGCGAAGAATATATCTACAACCTCTTAGATTCATACTGGTACAAACACCACATTCTTACACCAAATCGACCATCAATTCCGATACCCGAATCCTATAAGGAAGAATATGGAACGCCATCACCGAAGCCACAAAAAGACGTGATCATGGCGTTGACGACGGGCAATTGTAGAAATGATGTGGAAATGAAAGGTCAACTAAGATTCTGGGCACATTCCGTTGCTTTAATTTCCATATAAATCTTTAGCTCCCTCTTTTTCATCAAATTTTTAGTGTGAAAAGTAGAAATTAATACCACTTGATCTCAATACTAGCTAATCAAGCAATAATTAGTATAGCATATATATATATATATATATATATATATATATATATATATATATATATATAGATGTGTGTGTGTGTGCGCGCGCGCACGCGCGTACCTAGGCTTACATGTATACATGTGTTTGGAGATTGAAAAAGTGCCCCGTTTGTTTCGATTATAGTTGTGAATGTAACAAATTGATCAATATATTAGCACCAAGAAAACTCGAGTATTGGAGTAATATGGTAAATATTGTTTGTGATTTTGGTGTCACCATGATTTGTACTCTAATACATATACGGGGGTTGTGCGGAGTGCACACATGTATAAGATCGAGTCAGAAATCGGTTCGACGACTAGTCAGGGGTTCGGGGGCAGTGCCCCCGGGTCCGAGGTTTCCAAAGGGGAGCTACCCCTTTGGCGGGGTCTAGGGGCAGTGCCCCTAGCGGGGTCCAAGGGGCAGAGCCCCTGGCTGGGGTCCCGCTGACGAAACTCGTTAGTTTTGCATGTGGGAACATAATGGAAAACTCAATTTCTTGAGGGTGTAATTATGGTAAAACTAACGAAACCCGTTAGTTTTTGGTAACCCTAATCCGAATTAATATTACTTACTTCCAAAGCAACTAATGATGGCCCAACCCTAATGAAACCCTAATCGTGTTTAGTATATAAACAACTCTTTCTTTCCAGAAGGATGATGTTCTTTAGTTCTCGTTTTTCATCACACATTCACAGAACCCTTTAGCATATTAGCTTACGTTTTCTGTGCCTAGAAATGTAAGTATCTGCTTGGATTATCCTGGGCTGAATTTCTTGTAACCTAGGCATAGGGTAGAAATATCAGTTCGGAAAGTGATATCACGATCCAAGCTGGTATCTAGATCTCCATCGCAAACCCTAATTTTCCCAACAATCGAACTGATATTCACTGTTTCTGGAGATGGGTGAGTCAATCTGCGAGATGACCACTAAGTTTGCCAAGTTGGAGAAGTTTGAAGGCGTCGATTTCAGGCACTGGAAGAAAAAGATGCACTTCATGCTGACCACTCTGAAAGCAACATACGTGCTGACTACTCCAACACCAGCAGAGCTTGAGGAAGGTGTTGTTGAGACGGCTGAAGAGATAAGAAAGAGACAGAAGTGGAGCAATGATGACTACATCTGCAAAGGTCACATTCTGAATGGTATGTCTGATGCTTTATTTGATATCCATAGTGAAACCTTGTGTGCCAAGGAGTTGTGGGATACCCTTGAACTGAAATACATTAATAAGGATGCTTCTAGCAAGAAGTTTCTGGTTAGTGATTTTAATAATTATAAGATGGAAGATTCAATCACTGAATAGTACAATGAACTCCTTGGCATATACAGACAGTTTAAACTGCATAAAATCAATATGGATGAATCCATAGCGGTGTCCACTATCATTAACAAACTGCCTCCGTCCTGGAAAGACTTCAAACATAACTTGAAACATCAAAAGGAGGCACTATCATTGGTTCAACTTCCTAGTCACATTCATATTGAAGAATCTCTTCGTGCGAAGGAAAGTGACAAATCTGAAAAACCCAAAGGAAAAGTTGAACCTGGACAACCATCGGTGCATATGGTTGAAAACAAACCAAGGAACCAGAACCACAAAGGACATGGCAAATGCAAGCAGGGACATGTCCCAGGCAAATCCAACAAAAAGAGAAAGGATCTGGTTTGTTGGAGGTGTAATCAAGTTGGGCATTGCAAGCGTGATTGTCGTGTGAATTTGGGAAACACTGGTGCTGGAAACAGTGGAGCCAATGAGAAAGTGAACGGGTCTTCAGCCCAAGTTAAAGGAGGTCAGTTTTTGAATAACTTTGATAATTCTAATCAGAATTATGTTCGCTGTGTTTCATTTATCCCTGAATCATTCTATGTGCAGGATGATGATGTTGCTTGGTGGATCGACTCCGGAGCAACAAACCATGTATGCAAGGATAAACGGATGTTTGAAACGTTAACTCCACTTGAAGATGGTTCGGTGCTGAAAATGGGAGACGATTCTTTTATTCCTATTTGTGGTTTAGGTGTCGTGTGTCTTGAATTTACTTCTGGAAAGACAATTAGGTTATTTGATGTTTTGTTTGTTTCCAAGATTCGCAAGAATCTTGTTAGCTCTAGTTGTTTGAATTCATAGGGGTTTAAACAAGTTATTGAGTCGGATAAGTTTGTTTTGTCTAAGGGTGGAATGTTTGTTGGCTTTGGATATTTAAATAATAGAATGTTTCGTTTGAATAATGTTGACAAATTATTACCTGTTCAGAAAATCTGCATTCGTATCTTCTGCTTCTAATGTTGATAAATCTATGCTTTGGCATGTAAGATTAAGTCATGTCAACTTTAAAAGGATGCATGAGATGCCAAAAGATGGATTAATTCCAGCCTTTGATATGGCATCTGATAAATGTAAAACATGCATGCTTACAAAAGAGACAAAACATCCCTTTCCTAGTGTCACTAGAAATTCAGTTGTTTTGGAACTTGTACACAGTGACCTGTGTGATTTTCATTCCACTCATTCTTTAGGGAATAAAAAGTATGTAGTCACTTTTATTGATGACTGCACTTGGTTTTGCTATGTGTATTTGTTGCACTCTAAGGATGAAGCCTTAGATAAATTCAGAATATACAAAACCGAGGTGGAATTGCCGTTGGGCATTCCGGTTAAATGTCTCAGAACTGATAGGGGAGGTGAATATATGGATCCCATATACTTCCAATTAGTGGGTATCATTCATGAGACCATGGCACCTTCCACGCCTCAACAGAATGGCATTGTTGAACGCAAAAATCAAGTTTTAAAGGAAATGGTAAACTCAATGTTGTCTTACTCAGGATTGAGTGAAGGATTCTAGGGAAAGGCCATGTTAACGGCCTGCTATTTGTTAAATAGGGTTCCAAATAAAAGGAACAAAACAATCCCATATGAACTTTGGTTCAAGAAAAAGCCGAATTTGAGTTATTTTCGGGTTTGGGGATGTCGGCCAGTTGTAAAACTTATCGAGCCCAAAAAGAAAATTTTGGGAGAACGTGGAATTGATTGCATATTCATTGGATATGTTGAACATTCCAAGGCATATAGGTTTTATGTAATAGAATCTAATGATTCGGTTTCAATTAACATTGTTATCGAATCGCAGGAGACAATTTTTGATGAGATGAGGTTTTCATCAATTCAAAGGCCTAAGGATCTGACTTTTGATGCTAATAAAGAGCAAAATTCAGAATGTCAAGATGGTGGTATCGTGCAAGAACCACAAGATATTCGTACAAGCAAAAAAGGTCAAGTTGCGAAAAATTTTGGATCTGACTTCCAACTGTACTTGGTGGAAGGTTCAAGGGATGAAATTAATCTTGAATACTCTTATTGCTATAGTATTGAAGATGATCCTAAGACTTATCAAGAGGCCATGGAGTCTCGTGATAATGCCTTTTGGAAGGAAGCAATTGATGATGAAATGTCATCAATTCTTGAGAACAATACATGGGTGTTGTCTGATTTTCCATGAAAGATTTAGGAGAGGCTGATGTAATTCTTGGAATAAGAATTAAGAGGATGAACAAAGGATTGGTAATGACTCAAAGTCATTATATTGAGAAAATTCTCAAGTGGTTTAATTTTACCAAGTGTTCTCCTGTGAGTACTCCTATGGATGCAAGTGTGAAATTAATGCAAAATAATGGTATTCCCATTTCACAATTGGAATACTCTAAGGCTATTGGTAGCTTGATGTATGTCATGACAAGTACCAGACTTGATATTGCGTTTGTTGTGGGTAAGTTGAGCAGGTACACTAGCAATCCTAGTGCTCAACATTGGCAAGCAGTGAATAGAGTGTTTAAGTATCTCAAGGGAGCCATGAATTATCGTTTGTGTTACTTGGGGAGTCATTCGGTTTTAGAAGGTCATTCAGATGCAAGTTAGATTACCAACATGGAGGACCATTCCTCAACTTTTGGTTGGGTATTCTTGCTTGGGGGAGGTGCCATTTCTTGGGCTTCCAAGAAGCAATCTTGCATTACAAACACGACAATGGAATCTGAGTTTGTTGCGTTAGCAGCTGTTGGTAAAGAAGCAGAGTGGCTAAAGAATTTGGTCTATCAGATTCCTTTGTGGTCTAAACCGATAGCACCTATTTCTATCCTTTGTGATAGTTTTTCCGCTTTGGCTAAAGCATATAGCCAGGTTTATAATGAAAAGTCTAGACACCTAGGTGTTATACATAATATGATTAGAGAATTAATCATGAATGGTGTGATTTCGGTTGAGTTTGTGAAATCGCAACAAAATTTGGCAGATCACTTGACTAAAGGTCTGACAAGAGACTTAGTGCACAAGTCTGTAATCAGGATGGGATTAAAGTCCATTTAATTGTATAATGATGAGACACCCAATTCCTTCCTAATATAATGTTAGGAGTTGAGTTCAATGTGGAAAGCTCATACTTATAGATTGGAACACATGAAGTATTCATCCCAGGTATGTGTTCGGTTCTGCAACTTAGCTAGGTTGAAGTTTAACTTCTTAATAATTGCTTTGATAAATGTATGTGCAGATACATGGAAAGGAGTTACCTACGTGATTGTGAAGTGTAGCCGCATTTCAAGAGGTTGTGCACTTGACCTTGATACGATCATGAGAGGATTGGGAAACACGGCTTTATAATAGTGCCAAGTTGTATTATGCTAGAAATTCAATAAACTAGTATGTATATTACTTTCTGGTATTCAAATGGGTTGATGGGTTCAATTCTTAGAGCACCCTGATTCTCGAGTATTTGCAAGTGTATGATACTTAGTGTAAATTCAATCGTTTCGATATTTTCATTATGTACTAGTTTGGTTTTGTTGTAGATAAGGTTATGTTGGTTCAAGGGTTACACTAAAATGGGGGAGGAT